TGGCAGTCTGCTTAGGCCTTTAGATGGCCTCAACAATTGTCCTTATAAGAAGCCTTGTTGAAAGGCCTGTTGTGTGAACGTTAATTATGATTAACAGTAATTAATGTATAACGTTTAGATGGCCGCAACAGCTGTCCTTATAAGAAAGCGACAACTTAGTGAAAGGCCTGTTGTGTGAATGTTAAAACGATCATAGATTGCTTGACTTTCTTGACTTATGGCAACCCTATCTATCATGGAGTTTTCTTGGCAAATTTCTTCAGAAAGGATATGTAGAGAGATCTTGTAGCACCTTTGAGACTGACTACAAGATCTACAAGATCTCTCTACATACTGATTTACAGACTAACACAGCTGTTTATCACATGGGAGGGATCCCGTGCAAAAATGGGATTTAAAAAAGGAAAACCCCACAAAAGCGGATTGATTTTCACACAACGTTTAATGAGCATTAATACGACATTAACCCGGTAAGACAGTCGACAAAACGGAATTCTTTTTTACTTTCAGAAAATCCCGAAAGTAAAAAGAAATGTGTTTAGTCAACTTTCTGTCCAGGCTAATTGCTCATTAACCCCGATATGTGTGAAAATCAACCCACATTTGTGGGGTTTTGGGGGTTTCTGCATGGAATTTGAATACTTTGCCCCAGTGTGATAAACTCTTCTGTCTTTGAATTGTTCAGAAAGGGTTTGTTGTTGCCATCCTCTGAGGCAGAGAAATAGTAACTTGGCCAAGCTCACTCAGTGGGCTTCATAGGTTAATGGGGATTCGAACCCTGGTCTCCATAGTGGTAGGCTTTTTACCCACCAGTGTGAGGAAATCTGTGGTGACTAAAATTATGTTTCCACCCCCTACACTTTCGACAAGCATATGTTCAAGCGCACTTTGTATATAACATTTAGATGGCCACAACAATTGTCCTTTTCATACTTATAAGAGGACTACTTAGCGAAAGCCCTGTTGTGTTAATGTTAAAACAATCATACATGTCTTCAAGTCATTTGTGACTTACGGTGACCCTATCATGGGGTTTTCTTGGCAAATTTCTTCAGAAGAGGTTTGCTGTTGCCATCTTCTGAGGCAGAGAGAGTGTGACTTGTCAAGGTCACCCAATGGGTTTCATAGGTTAGCAGGGATTCGAACCCTGGTCTCCAGAGTGGCAGTCTGACACTCAAACCACTACACCACACTTAAAATGACCCAACTGCTTTACTCTGGTGCCACAACAAATGACAGTTCCCAGAATTCCATAGCCTTGAGCCATGGCAGTTAAAAGTTGGGTCAAACCTGATTATTTTTTCAGTTGGGTCATTTTAACTTTAGGTAGAAGCAGAGTAACATGGTAATATGAAATAGAAGTAGAAGCATTGTGTGATTGAACTGCCACTCTAGAGACCAGGGTTGGAATCCCTACTAACCCATGGAACCCCACTGGGTGATCTTGGGCAAGTCACACTCTCTCAGCCTCAGGGGATGGCAATGACAAACACCCTCTGAAGAAATCTGCCATGGTTTTTAGGGAAATCTCTAAAAACTACAAGGATCTATGACTTCAGACGTTTGCACCACAGTGGAACTTTGAAGGCCTACATCCATTGTTTTTATAAAGGAATCCATGAACAGGACACAATCAGTCATTTTAATATGGTTTGGTAGCATTTTCTGCAAAAATAAAAATCTAAAGGATGATTCTATTTCATAGCAGAGATCATGTTTTTCTGTAGAAGTGTAGTTAAGTCTTAAATCTATTTTTTTAATAAACATGGTACAATTGGCCCTCCATTTTCACAGTTCCAGACACTCCCCCCACAAAATGGAGATTAGCGAGTATTTAAGTCCCATAGGCTTGAATGGGGCACATCCTTGTGGGCGCCCGCAGGGGCAGACCCCATTGATTTAAAAGGTTGCCCCTCCATTAATATGTACTTGAAGTCTGCAAGAATGGAAGGGTGACTGTATTTTATTATTGTACTTTTCTGGACCAAAAAGCAGGGTAAAAATATTTTAAATAAATGACATTTTGTGACAGTTCCTTTAGTATATTGATGTTAACTGCTAAAATTTTCAACTTATTCATACTGCACAAATTTTATTGCTATATTCCACCTTTAACTGCCATGGCACATCTTATGGTATCCTGGGATTTCCAGTTTAGGAAAATACATTTTGAATTCTCTGCCAGAGAGCTCTAGTACATAAACAAGACAATCTCTAGGATCCACAGTGCAACTGTGACAGGTCCAAAACACACTGCAGAAATAATCCAGTTTGAGACTGCTTTAACTGCCCTGGCTCAATGCTAGGGAATTCTGGGAATTGTAGTTTATTGTGTCCCCAGAGATCTCTGACAGAGAAGGTTAACTATCCCACAAAACTGAGTTCCCAGGATTCCATAGCGTTAGGCCAGGGCAGTTAAAGCAGTCTCAAACTGGATTATTTCTGCAGTGTGTTTTGGACCTTAATGGACTATAATTGTGTAGTGTGAATGGGCCATTAGGATGCTAGAATGGTTACCTCAGGTGAAAAAGGGCTTGTTTGTTACTAGGATATAAAAAGCAGAAGTAGGCCAGGGTGACCAGATGTCATTAACTGCAAAGGAGGACAATACACCATAAAATGTAGGACATTCAAGAAAAAATGCAAGACATCCCAAAATAAAAGCGCAGAACACTCATATAAATGTGAATTCATGCTTCTCAGTCATGCACAAAATGGAGGACATTTGGGAATTCCTCCTGAACAGAATACTGAAATGCAGGACATGTTTGGAAAAAGGAGGAAATCTAGTCACCCTGAAGTAGGCTGTTTTATATATTACAGATATTTTGGATCTTACTAGACCCCAAGCTGAAGGTAAGTCAAGAGCATGTATGGAACAAAAATAGCACACAAAAAAGGCCAATGCAATTATAGAACTATAGTTGTTGTTGTATGCCTGCAAGTCATTTCTGACTTATGGAGACCCTAAGGCAGGGGTAGGCAACCTTTGCCCTTTAAGGGCCGAGGAACTTCAGCTTCCAGAATCCCAGGAGCTATTGGCCAACATGGGACTATTGGCCAACATGGCTGAGGCTTCTGGGAGCTGAAGTCCCTTGGTCCTTAAAGGGGAAAGGTTGCCTACCCCTGCCCTAAGGTGACCTTATCATAGGGATTTATTGACAAGTTTCTTCAGAGGGCATTTGCCATTGCCATCCTCTGAGGCTGAGAGAGTGTGACTTGCCCAAGATCACCCAGTGGGGTTCCATGGGTTAGCAGGGATTCCAACCCTGGTCTCCAGAGTGGCAGTTCAATACACAAACCACTACACCACACAATGTTTCTACTTCTATTTCATATTACCATGCTACGCTGCTTCTACCTAATGTTAAAATGACCCAACTGAAAAAATAATCAGGTTTGACCCCACTTTTAACTGCCATGGCTCAAGGCTATGGAATTCTGGGAATTGTTGTTTGTTGTAGCACCAGAGCAAAGCAGTTGGGTCATTTTAAGTGTGGTGTAGTGGTTTGAGTGTTGGGCTGCCACTACAGAGACCAGGGTTTGAATCCCTGCTAGCCTATGAAACCCATTGGGTAATCTTAACAACTGTATAATATAAATCCAAAACACACTGCAGAAATAATCCAGTTTGAGACTGCTTTAACTGCCCTGGCTCAGTGCTTGGGAATCCTGGGGATTGAAGTTTGTTGTGGCAGCAGAACTCTCGACAGAGAAGGCTAAATGTCTCACAAAACTATAATTCCCTGTACTTCCAGGGCAGTTAAAGTGATCTCAAACTGGATTATTTCTGCAATGTATTTTGGACCATAGACACCAATTTAAGCTTTTTTAAGTGATAGAGATTTTCAGGAGGCACATGAATTAATAATGCAAAATAATTATGATATTTTTTTGTATGAACTTTGTGGACCCTTCCATTATTCCTTTACCTTCATGGTTCTTCCTACTGGCAGCACAGTTTACACTAAATTTGCAATCTGATTACAGTCGGCCCTCCGTTTTTGCAGGGGATCTGTGCCGGACCCCCCATTAAAACAGAATCGGCAATATTCAAGCCCCACAGGAGTGCATCCCATTGATTTTAACAGAGGTCGCTCCCGTGAATATTCAAATCTGAGTACCTCAAGTCCTCAAGAACAGAGAGACAACTGTATATTGAAGATTATGAGGGGGTATCATAAAGTAATAATTATCACCCAGAAGTTATTATGGTATATTGATGAAATTTTGTCAGTGTATTATTGGTCCCTAAGTGTATGATGTTGAGAAAATCAGCTCATTGTGTCCTTTATTTTTGTTACAGGTTGTGCCAGAAGTGGCTAAAGTGAAAGATGGAGAAGTACAAGGGGGTATCGTAAACTAATAATTATCACCCGGAAATTATTATGGTATATTGATGAAATTTTGTCAGTGTCATCATCGCCAAGTTACTTTTTTTCCCAAAAAATGAAAAATCCATAGCGGGGTCATCGATTTGACAACACAAATGATGTCATTAATGAAGTGGAAGAGTGGCTTAATGCACAATCTGAAGACTTCTACAATAATGGTATTTGGAGGTTCAAGAAATGTTGGGGAAAATGTGTAAATCTAGATGGTGACTACGAAGCTTATTGCCCAGTTAATTAAATCACCTTATCTGATCTGGTTTAAATTTTAAATTGGGCGACATCCGGACCCTATCACAGGGGTTCTGCCAGCAAAATCACTGTCCGAATGCAGCCCAGGTCCATCCCTGTTCCCAGGGCCACTCAGTGTGGCTTTTTTCAAAACTGGGAGTTTTCCGGCTTGAGAAAATGGCTGCTGGAATGGTCCTGGGAACAGGGATGGACCTGGGCAGTGATTTCAACGGCAAAACTCTAGCAATAGGGTCTGGATGCCGCCTGATTTAAAATTTAAACCAGATCAAGTAAGGTGATTTAATTAAATGTGCAATAAGATCCTATGTTAAGATAAGTTAACAACTACAATTTAAAACAAACTTTCTGTCATTTTTTAAAAAAGGTGATAATTAAAACTTTATGATACTCCCTCATATATTTAGGGAAGGGAACTACAGTACATATCTGCAATTATCCAGACACAGTGAATACACACGAGTGGAGCCATAATTGATTTAGATTACTAGATAATGAATTTGTGAATTAGAACCATGGGCTTTATAGTTGTTGTTTTATTATGGACCCATTACTCCCTTCTATCTACATGCATTGTAATTACATTATAGGTGGAGAGGGTCTAAAGTCTGAAAAGGTCTTGTGTCCCCAGGTAGAATCTGGAAAACTTGGTTGAATTTAATACTTTTATTTAAATAAAAACAAACTTCAAGCCTATTTACTCATAGCAATAAAAGGATGACCAATTATTAATTCCCTCTTGTGAAAATGCCAAAAAAATTGAGTACAAAGCTGTTGAAATAATTGACAAGCACTGAACATTTATTTACGATAAGTTATTTCAGAATACTATACCCAGTCAACTTTAATCAAGCCAGCAGCAAATCATAGGCAGAAATTAGGCATCCAAAAACCTATTGGAATCATTTTGCTTCAGAGTAAGCTGCATATTTCAATATACATTTGACCCAAAATACTTGTAGTTGTAGACCTTTCAAACACATTGTATTACATATGTATTTTTTCTTATCTGCTGAAGAAAGCTCCATTTTCATTTTATAATATGTAGGGTTGAATTCAGACCTAATCATAGAGCAGATCCAATAAACATAGTGAGAATTAAATATGTCATGATTAACTAATCACAGTTAGAATAAACATATTCACTTATTAGTTGATATTAAGTCTGTTTCATTATTGTTTTAAAATGCTAATGGTAGCCATTTTGTTTACAATTCAAGTAAATTTTCAGATCTGACAAACATTATGTGTTCTTGTTAGAAACATCATAATCAGTCCATCCAAGAAAATTAAAGTTTTAACCACTGCACATAAACTGCCTGTTTCTTGTTAAAGAGCTTAGAAAATATAGATTCAGATTAAAATATTTAGAGAAATTATCCCAGTAAACAACATTTGTAGTTACTGTTTCTTAATTCACAAAGATAAAGATTATTGCATTATGTCAAATCTCACATGCTACAAGCATTTAAAAATTATGAATGTTTTGATTTCTTTTAACCTGGTCTTCTTAAAATGTTTATGTCTATTTTTAATTTAAATCTCTATTAGGAAT